ACAGCACTTGACTTTGTCTTTATGTTTAATGCCATAAACAGTTGCAAATTACCAATAAATAATTTTAAAAATAGGAAGACAAGCTGCTTACTCTATAAATATTCAATAACAATGCTGTTTCATTGACATACCATCAAAGCAAAGAGGCAAAGTGAACGAGGTTCCCTAGGTTAAAATTAAATTTAATGAGAGAAATGATTTGCAACGATTATTCAGAAAAAAAAAATTGAAATTAAAATATTAATTTTGGATGCACTCATTATGTATTATAGCGGAAACTGGAACGACGACCGACAAAACGGAAACCGTGAATACTGAATAGTAATATCAAATAAAAATACCTTACTGACAATAAATTTAAACTTACACCAGTGGTCGTAGCGGTGTGGTTGTTGCCGTCATCGTAGTTGCTGACCGTGTTGTCGTTGCCGACATCGTTGTTGCTGACATTACTATCGTTGTCATACTGTGCAGATGAGTCGTTCAGTGGAACGCGTTCTGAGTTGTTGTCCATGGTGGAAGATAAAGGCGAGTGATGAAACAACAACGAACGAGTAAAAATGTAAAAACTATAAATTTGGACGGTGGCAGGACAAAAGAGTCTGCAGTAGCGTCGAAGCAAATGGCGTCCGCCCGGCGGTAACACGCTGAAAGAGGTGCTTGTTTACGGCACAGACTCCAAGGTACGGCACCAGAATGCGGAGTACTAGGAAGCTCCGTGAGCCAACAGGATATTGTTTGGTGATGAGGCGGTGCCAAGCGTTTCGTTGTCACCGTTAGAATGTTGGTAAATGACAACACGATTACATGACGCATCACATAACCCATGAGTCTATTAGTTCCTCTGCCAACTAAATCCCCTTGGCCTTCTGAATAGTWGATTGTAGACTGATAATAGTATCTATATTCACGTTAGATATACAATATACGGTATGTAGTTACCTCCCGTTTAAAGGTATTATTGATAGGTGATTTTTAATTTTCAATTAATTTGCATAGACTGGATATTATTACGTTTGCGTACCTACTTAAAATGCTCAAAATAAACACGTAATACTGTAATATTATTATGCCTTATGATGTATTAAATTCAGATCAGTAAATAATTCTAAATATTAAGAAAACAATCGATTTGACTTGTTTATTTTCTAAGTTTAAAAATCATATTGAATAAGTTTATTTAAACTCAAATATGAGAATGGCGCAGTGTTGGGGAAGTTAYTTATTTTGGGTGATTAAATTACATTACTAATTACTTATCAAAATCGTAACTAAATTATTTTCATTTTGCCAAGTTACATTACTTTTGAGGTTTAAAAGTAACTCAATTACAATAGAAGTTACTTTTTTTTTTTATATCACTGGGGCTTAATAGCTAATTTGTCTATATGACAATACCACACAACCACACTACACTGCGTGCTCAGAGCTGCAAACAACCAATAATCCTTAGGCCACTAATTATATTTCTACTTTTATAATTGAGGTACCTCAATGCAAAACATACTTTTTCCATTTTTTCTCATTTTTCAGTAGAGCAGGTTTTCTGATTTGAGTATTTTTAATTGTCGTAAACGATACCGGTGCGTTTTTAAAAATTCTAAAAAATATTMTTATATTGTCTACAAATTCATTTCTTTTCTGTTAAATTTATTTATTACCTTTTTTTAAAATATAAAAAAATTGTTTTATCCAAAACGGACCTTTTCCGGAATCAGTACGTTTTACATTAAATTTGGAAAAAGTACATATTGGAAAAAATATGAACAATTTTAAACAAAACGTACTATTTCCGGAAAATGAACATTTTGTAAAAAATCTATTAATTTAGTCCGTTTTGCAAAAAAAATAAATTATTTTTGACAAAATGTACTTATTCCAGAAAAGGTACATTTTGCAACGAGTTTTAATAGATTTTTTAATTTGAAAGAATGACATTTTTATTCAAATTCTTTTCATTAAATTGTGAATAATA